TAATGAAAGCGTATAGAATAAGAAAAGGAGGGGACAGTTGCGTCAGTGAAGCGTCACTTCTACTAACAGATAGAAAATTAGCTTTTTTGGTCGTCACATAACCCAGTGTCTTTCTGTTTTTTGTGTGTTTTAAATTTTTCTTTTTTTCTTTTTTTTCTGTTTTACGATTTCTTTTCTTAGTTCTTGACACGTGTTTGTTTCCCGTTGTGTGCCGTCAATTATGGGAGTGCATATTTTGTTATATCACATTGATGATGACAGGGGAAGTCGGGAATGACGTACATGCGTGTGATGTATTTGTTAATGTTAGCTTCGAAATAAATATTTCAGTTGCTAGTAAGCGCTTGTCTGTGTCCTTTCTGAGTGTGTGTATTTTCAGCGCTTGTTTCATCATGAACCTTTACCAACACGCCCAACTGGCAGTCATCCTAAATGATTGGAAGTCTGCCGAATCGTGAAAACTCTTTGAATTAAGCGGTTTTTCGAATGAACCAAAACGAAGAAAAAAAAAGCAAGAAAAATGCACTACAAAATAAAATCACTGTCATCCTCAAATCAAGAAAGAAGGATCACTGATTTGAAATAATCAGTGATGCTGGATTGCTTAGTGCGGTAGTTGGCTGCCGCAAGTGCCATCTCAAGCCTGCTCACTTATCTTTTCACTATAACCACCACTGCACTCGATGAAGCTTCGGACGCAGCCGCTAAACTGGGTGTACTGACGGCGTGTCGTCACTATCGTTACCGTCATCACCGACGAGCCCATTGTCGAGGATTTCGTCATGCAGATCAACATACGATGTTTGGACATCTGCCTCAACGTTTGAGTACTTTGCGAAGCCGAGTCCTTCACTGTTGTCTTGGCCGGAGTTCGTTATTCAAGCACACATCAAGTCTCCCTCGTCGTCTAGGCAGTTGGAGCTGCAAAGGTCATCCTGATCTTCGCCACCTTCTTAGTGAAACCCGGCATGTGCAAAGGAGCGCCTTGACCCTTGGCTCTAACTCCTTCCAGGCAAAAACAGCTAAGCATATTGCACCGAGAAGGTCTATGTTGTTCTGCTTTCTTTTGTCATAGTAGAGCAAAACCTTCTTCAACAGGTGGTGTCAGTAAATCTTCCTCGTTTGGAGTATCACCCCTTGGTCCATCGGTTGCGATATGGAAGTTGTATTTGCCGGGAGGAAGACGATCTTGACGGCTTTCACATTCTCGATGTCATCCTGGGCTGGGAAGTTATCGATCACAAAGAGCACTTTCCACCCTTTGGCAGCAAACTTCCGGTTGAGAAGCTGAACGTACTCCTCAACTATTGCCGCTGTCATCCACGCCTTTTTTGTTATGCTGGTAAATCACATCTTTTGTGGGAAGGCGCGCATTCTTAAAGCATCTAGGCTTATCTGTCCGGCCAATGACAAGCAAAGGGAGCTTGTCTTTTCCCGACATGTACGCAGCGAACAAAATAGAAATTGATTCTTTAGGCTCGGTGAACAAAATAGAAATCTATTTTTAGGCTGTTTTCTCCCCGAGACTGCGGTGTCTTTTGCTGCAAATGTCTTTGAAGGAAGCATCCTATAAAATAAGGCCACTTCGTCCAAGTTCTAGGCATCGTCTTCTACAAACTCCTGAAGCAGCGGTGCCAAAGTACGTTCATGCCAGTCGTCAACCACGTTTGAGTCTGTGCTGCCGCTTTCCCCACACACTACCAAGTACGTAAGGCTGTTTTGCTCTTCAAAATCGAGAGAACCAGCCGTTCCTGCACTTGAAGCCTTTGTGGCCAAGGTGCAGTGCGAGCTCGTCTCTCGAAGAATGGTGCCATTCACGGGTAGGTGAGCGGCTTTCGAATGCTGAAGCCACTTCAATAAAGCGACTTTGACGTCTGGGTACGCTGGAAAAGGAATCCGGGATCGTTTCGTTGAATGCATCTTCCCGTACGCTTTGAACACCTTCTCCTGAAACGTGAATGTATTGCGAGCCGCGCAAGCAGCTGTCAATTTGCACACGATAATTTCAGACACTGGAGAAAAAGCGCACACGACGAATGCAAGAACGAAAAGATAATGAACGCGCGAACTATGCGAAAAATGCAACTGGGTCGACATAAAAAACCAGAAACAAAACCAGCTTGTTTCCGGTATTGACAAGAAAACAACATTAAAGTCAAACGTTGACTCGGAGACTTGGAACGCAGAAAAAAAAAAAAAAAACGCTTTCTGGCAGGCTGGCGGATTGCCAGAAAGTCTGTGTAAAAACACCTGTGTCACTCAACCAACTACGTGACCTCCAAAATATGCGTTGCCAGGAGGCAGCTCCCGTATGTTATTGCCGGTGCAAAATTTCGAGTAATCCGGGTGGGGGCCTCGCGGGCTATTCAAATAATCTGGTTGAATTTGCATTGAAAATGACGGGACTGCTCAGATTCCTCTAGTTAACCAAGATTTTGATGTAACCTAGATCGAATTATTGAGGTTTTACTGTACGTACTTTGACCACACCTTGTGGAGGCGCGCACACAGTGATGCACGGGGTGGCGTGGCACCAGCTTTAGAGTGTGCGTGCTGAACACACAACCGTCGTGCCATCTCGTTACTGATGATGAAAATGCGCTGAAGTTGTTGAGTTCCGAAGACCACCATGGTGTATATAAGTTGCTCGTCGTTATCAAGTTGGAGAAGGTTCGCTCTGGGGCTTAGTGGTTAGCGTTGCACCCTGAAGAGTGGGAGGTTGCAGGTTCAATGCCCTACTGTGGAAATTTGCTTCTCATTTTTTCTTAGCAATCTGTTAGTATGTATTATACAGTGTCATATCCATGAGAGAAGTACGTCAGCGGAGCCGTGGTGGACCCCGGCATAAAACACTTTCGTATCGTAAAAAGTGCTGATAAAAATTTTGACTACAAAACGATTCGTGAGATAGTTTTGTGTGGGAATTCACGTACACTGTGAATTATCAATCTCTTATGAAATCTAGAACACATCTAAAATCATGTGCATGTCGCACAACTGTACACAAAACGCATTACCTCGCAGGAGACCAGTAGTTTGTGTTGGCCACCGTGCTCCTTGCAAACAATCACTCTTAGTGCACGCCCTTTATGAACTTGTACAGAAAGTACAAAGGCTGACTTCCTTACCTCATTAGTGCATTTTTTTGAGTCACACATAATTGCAACATCCCAGAGGATATAGTAGTAGCACCCAGGCAGTCTTTGTAGAAACAGTTGATGTGGTGGTGCTCATGAACAGTTGCGGGAAATATAGTATGGAACTCGGAATTTGAGTTTAATTGACGATTACATGCAGTGTACTGCTACAAATCTAATGTTGCAACATTTGCCTTTCTGTTTGACAATTTAGTGTTGTGAACTCATTTGGGCTTGCCGATAACCGCTATGCGCTTTAGAACATGGTACCAGCGTGCCATGTCCTATTGGTCGCGACTATACACTCGGTTCTGTGAGCTCACGGGTCCAGCAACGTTGAAGTGCAAACGCTGCTGGGTCTGCTGCCTTTCTCTCAATCCAAAACTGTGACTGGGTGGAATAGAACGATTGCCAAATAATTAACTGTTGCATGTCTGAACAAACGAGGCTGGCAGCTGTGATAAGAGGGTCGTTAGCTACGCAATGCAAGAAAAAAAGGGTGTAAAATTTTTGTGTCTGTACTTGTTTAAGGCAGTAATCAGTTAGCTCAACATAGCTGCAATCGTGCAACAGTGTGTTCAACAGCCAAATGGAATTCAAAGCTAGCTGTGCTAGAGGCCATGTTATAAATGAGGTAGCGAGTTTCTGAGTAGCTGGTCAAATAGTGAAGGCTATGACACCAGTAGGGAATTATGGTCACTAAGCTTGCCAACCATTCAACAATTTTTTCTTTCCGCTGGTCTTGCACTGACCTGACATCTACAGAATTTTTCAAGTGGTCCTTATGCTCATGAAATTCACTAAACATACCTTAAAGAAACACTAAAGTGAAATAGCAATTTACGTGAGAGTGAAAGCTCAATATGTGACAACGTATAAAATGACAATATTATAAACAGCAGTGTCCTACTTACTGAGAAGTTAAGGTGAATGCACGAGAACACATGCCCTGCAGTAGGACATTCGCAAAATAATCCCGATGTCAGAGTTACAGCCTACAAATAATCGGTAGTAATCAAACTAGCTGCATTAAATGAAGAACCTTCCGTGCTTCAAGATACGTAATAAAATGCTGCTCGTTCGTTTCTGTTTGATTCATTGAAAAAAGAACCGCTGAATGTTACTATGGGGAATGGCGCGAGTGGTCCAAAGTTCAATTTTTGCCTAGTTAAACTGGGCAGGTCGTGTTATCTAGCGGGGCCCAGTTGAACCAAGCACGTCTGCCATGGCAGGAAGTTGTTCAATGGCCATTTTGGCTGCTGTGGTTCCCGCTGCTTTCGTTCTGCTGCTACTTGTCTTAGCGGCCGCGCAGTAAGGCCGGGCAACAATGTGCACAGCAACAGTGACGTTAGACTGTCCACTTCTTGAGGCGGGTAATTTGAAGTGTGCTAACGCAATGCGGACCACTAAAACGTGATTTTATTTCAGAATAAGCACTTTCCTTGGAACAAAAGTGGCACTACGAGGTATTTGGACCGCCATTTCAACAACCAACGCCGACTTGATAGTTGGCTGTAGTGTCTCTTCAAGTTTAATCAAAGCACTAAAATAATTAAATGGGGAAACTAACATTCTAAAATTTTTTTTCGGTTAAAGTCATAATAAACTCTCTTCATTGAACGAGGGGCCAAGTACGAATGGGGTAAAAAATAGTGTGGCTAAGCTTCTTCCATGAACAAATTCTGTATTGTTGAAGTTCGGCCTTTTTTATTTTTGTGTGAATGTGTTTTGTTTATCCTTTAAGAGTATGAACCCACACTGCTCTCCCTGTCAGTATTCTCGCTGTTGTTACCATCGCAAGGATAAGTGGCAGTTTTTGCGTGCAGTCTTCTCTACTCGGATCTTGTGTGTTTTGTGGCCCAGCAGGCAGTGGACAGCAGAATCAGGCCAGCCAGGAGTTGTACTGCTGCGACATCTGTGAAACGTTGGTGCCCACTCACGGTGACGAGCTTGAGAGGGTGAGTCTGTTCTTTCCCAGATGCACTGGGCATGACAGCATTGTTGAAGGGTTTGTGACAACCAATTTTTCATATTGATGTGCGCATGTGAGATTAATCCCTGTGCGTGCCCAAATAAGCTGATGCTTTACAGTAGAACCCCTTTATAAGAGACACTGATATAAGAGGCATTAGTGTGCCTACAATAAAATATGAGTAGATTAGAAACTGCATACGAGGTACCCTGCTTATAAGAGACATCTCATATACAGTCGAGCCCGCTTATAACGAATTTGAGCGGGACGCGGCATTCGTTTGCTGTATCCCAAAGTTCGTAGTAAATGAAACACAGCTTTTAAAAAAAGTTGCAAGTGAAAACACAAAGTTTTTATGCCCCAAAAAGTCCGTGATGCACGTGTTTCGAATAGCAGAAGTGATAAGGGCGATCTCGAGTTCATTTAAAATGGCAGGTGCTCATTCGCTGAGGCCCGTGGCATAAGCTGCATGAGGCACTCGTTTCAAAGTTTCGTCGTTCTCGCAATCCGAATCCTCCAAATTACTCTCGCCACGTACTTCATTCACAATGCCCAATCCGTGCACGGCTCCGCAGTGTCGGCATGATCATCGGCCGTAATTACACCACCGCAACAGATGTCCCACCCGCTATCCCAGGTCGGAGTCGACGCGCTGCCACAAATTGCCGCCGCAGTTCGGAAGCTTCGACTCGGCATCAGGCCCGACGTCGACGAAGTCAACCTCGCAAAAACGGTTTCGCGCGCGTGTAGCCGTCACCGCCGCCGCCGAAATATTCACCATTTCCACAGCTGAATACCGGGACACCCGAAACGGCAAGTTGGCTGCCAGGTGGTCAACAGCCATGAGCAAGCTTTCCGCAATGTGGCACTTCTGATCAGCGGCACACGGAGACGTTCGTTGTAAGTGCGTTTTCGTGCCATTAAACCATTGTATATTTTCACGGTCACGTGGATATTGTTCGTGTAAGTGAAAGTTCGTTCTAAGTGGGGCCGTTATATGTGGGCTTGACTGTAAAAGACAAGAACTGCTGCCCGGAGCATGTCTCGCATAAAGGGGTTCAACTGTAGTCCACTTCGTCGAGTGCTTGCTTTATTATGGAAAGTTACACGAGCAGCCTTAGAGTTGAGCAACACTGGCATGCTCGTGATGTAACAAGGAGTGGAGCATCTGCATTTCAGTGAACGATGTTATGTGTGCTGAAATAATAATTTAGCTTTCTTCAGCTTGGCACTGAAATCGAATGATTTTCAGCAACTGAAAGTTCAGTAGAAGACGGCTGCCGAGCACGTGGTATCATGTTCATGGTGAAATTTCTGTCGCCAGCAGTGGACCGGGATTACAGCTGGTGATTTCCAGGGCTTGTATTGCACTGAAATATTGTTTCACACCCATTTTTTATATCTGTACATTCATAACAAGGTTGTCTACTAACCTGGAAAAGTCGAGGAATTTGGACATGTCTAAAAAGATCACGAAATGGTCATGGAATTTCTAAAGAACTTTGCTATGTCTGCCTTCAGCGTAGAGCTCTCTATATCAGTTGAGACACATCACGGTTTACCATGCGTGTGCTTCGTTTCAAACAATTGTCTTCTAGCAACGGCTTTTTCCTTGAAGGCCTGAGACGCTTATTTTTCATTTTTAGGCTTTTAGGATTATATAAGCACCCAAATTTTTAAATAGTAGTGGGAAAGCAATAGATATTTCCTGGTACGGAACCATAAAAAGTATGAATTAACCACATGGTGAAGTTAGAATTAAGAAGCTTCTAAATACATTGAAAGAATATAGGGCTAACCAAAAAATTGAATTTTGTTTGAATCGACCAAAAGTATGAATTATCAGAGTTTGAATTATCGCGGGTCTACTATAGTTTTATCCTAAACTCCTCAGTTTTTGTTTTGTGCCGTGACAGTGTGTAAAGTATTCTTTGTTTTCGACAAACTTGCACCATGTATAAATATTGCTCCATGTGAACGAAATGTGTGAACTTTTTTAAGGTGGCATTAGTGTGTAGACCTCACTATGCGAGTTTAACTTATAACAGCGAAGCTGTTATATAGCAGTGGTGTTGCAAGAAATTTGTTGAACAGTTCAATCATACAAACCGAAAAAAAAAAAAAGGAACTGTTTCACTGCCAAAGGGATGAATGCAATACAGTCGAACTACGCTACAACGAACCCCGCTTCAAGAAAATTTTCTCTACAACGAAAAATTCACGGTTTCGTGTCAGCAGTCTATAAAAGTCAATGCATAAATATTGTCGCCACAACGAACACTTTTAAAGACCATAGTCTTCCTTGAGGACCTTTGACGAAAAAGATTTGGTCTGTCTTTCTGTTTGTCTATCTTTACATTCGTTTGTTTGTCTGCCCTTAACGGTACTCTAAACGGCACCAATGTGGCCAAACGATACTCCAACCAGCCGACCCCATGGGCAGCGCCCACCAATAATGCCCAAGATTCAGCGTTCATCCTTAAGCAATTGTCAATTAAAAAGCAATCATTGCACATATCTGAGGCACCATAACAACACGTCAATATTCTGTGTGTTTCTTGCTAGAAAAGGCATACATATGTAATTATAAGGACCGTAGCGTTGATCACGTTTCGCTAACCAGGCAACGCTTGCACGAAAAGGCAAGTGTTTGCAAGACTTTGCTAAGACGACACGGTGGTACCACCTACCCATCGCCTTGCATTCTACACCATATCACCTTCGAGACAGGCGTGCAGGGCGCGCGCTTCGTTTTCCAAGATAACTGCCAGATAGCGCTCATGTCTCACGTGTGACGTGACTTAATGCACTGATTTACCTCTGCTGCACGCTCGAAGCACTCTATCGCAGCGCCTCCAGTATACCATTCACAGATTTTTTTGCGCAGAACATCTAATAAACGTTTTGTTCGATGAAACGACATTTGCACTGTTACATGCAGATATGGGGCCAACTTATTTTTCTGCCGTCTCCCTTCAACGAAATTTCACAATGCAATTCCAGGCTTAAATATTTATTGCTATACCGTATACTCAGTTTTTAATGCATTTTCAGAACTTGAAAATACGTCCACGAAATCTAAAACATGCGTTGGCACCACCAAAAACCTCCGCTGTTCAGCATGCATGGGCGCCGCCATTACTCGATAGCAATGGTAATGAGACTGCTCTGCTTTTGCCGCTGGTTTGCTTTTGAGCCGCAGACGATCCGAAGCTGAAGCTCAGTCGCTAAGTTCATGGTTTTATTTCACGCAGCTGTGCGAACGATTCCTTTTTCAATGTCAGTGCGAATCATTTCGTTCGTGCTTGGCCATTGTGGTTAACTAATCAGAGCGGCTGTTCGTCCGCATTAGCATCAAAGTCAGCTAGCCACGAGTGGTGGATGACAACAAGGGCATAGAATAAGGCAAAAGTCACCGCTACATGATACCCTGCCTCCATCTCGGCGCTGTCGAATACACTTTCACGACGGACAGCTGCTGGTGTTAATGTGTTAATGCAGCTGTTCGGTTCGTTCACGAAAGCGGTTGTAGGCCTTGCTTCAGCGTGTTTTTCATCACGGGCTCGCTATGTATGGGTGAAAATCGCATCGTAATGCTGCTGGGGAAGAATGGGAAGCAGCGGACAGTTTCTGAATTTTGAGAATAAACGTTCCTTTGTTTTGCTAGCTAATATCAGCTATATTTTTTCGACTTCACTACGAAATTTCTTTCGAGCTCGGTCGCTTTCGTTGTACAGTCGAAACCCGCACTAACGAAACCCCGCGGGAGCAAAATATTTTCGGATTACTGGCAAACATTCATGGAAGCCCAATAATTACGTATCTCGCGGCAACGAAATGTTTTTGGACAGTGATCCCGCATTAACGAATTTTCTAGCATAATGCAGGCCTTATTTTACCCTTCTGCCAAAGGTTAACTGTCTAAAATATGCTCGTGTGCGTGTTATGCACACTCAAAATTTGTAAACATCTGCTTTTGCCGCGCTAGAGTGGGTATCGTCATTTTTGTTTGCTTAAATCGGCGATAACGTCTGTGTCCGGCAACATGCCTGGCCACACTGCAGCAGGCGATGGCAAATGATCATGCTGGAGCACGCGGGGTTCACCACCACCGTGCAAGCATCATGCGCAGATTGCGCTTCGGCCTCACCAGACGAAGATGTGAACGAAGGCGCACTTGACGGCGAGAGTGGTGGCAGTGCAGTGCCTTTAGCCCTGACCAACGCCCGGGGGTAACTTCGAGCCATCGACATCAACATCCCAGATGAACTCACCGTTGATGCATTCATTCGCGCCAATGACGCTGCAGTCGTGTACGAGGAAGTGACTGACGAGGCCATTATTGAAAGCGTGCGCGAATTTGACGACACTGAGGACCAAGAAGAGACGCACGCGGATAACCCGTTTCGCAGGTTGTTTGGGATGCGCCACACAACCTTCGCTCCTTCTTTGGCGCATATGACGACGACGTAGGAATGGACAACTTTTTCCAGTGCGAAGGGAGGGCTTTGAAGTTGTTGCATGGCAAGGGTCGGCAAAGTAGGTTGACCGACTTCTGGCAATAAATTTTCGCTTTGCTGGCCGTATCATTGTTCTTTAATTTTCATACTAGCGGTAACGAAATTTTTTGGCTTCTCCGGCAATTTCGTTATTGCGTGTTTCGACTGTAGTGACAAATTGTCATGTTGCAATGGTAAGGCCGCATGCGCTCCTTCCTTTTTTTTTCTTTTTTGTTACTTTCCCTCTGCCTTGCACAAACTGCAACCGAGTGGCTGAGAACCATCGAGATAATCTTCCGTTGAGAGTACGTGCACAATGCGTACATTACTTTGTTCTGGAACTTACGCGGCAGCTAGCGAGGGCGCTGGAATCTTTGATGGCATGCTGACGCGCTTCACTGCCTGGGAGATTTTCTGATGGCCGATGCTCTGTGTTCTCTGCTATCAGTTTGCAGCGTGTGTTAGTTGTAGAATGACGTTTTTCTCT